GGGTACCCGAGTACAAGAGGACGGGGGGAGGGGTGAGCGGGGGGGACCCGAGTACAAGAGGACGGGGGGAGGGGTGAGCGGGGGGAAGGGGGCTTGGGGAGGGGTACCCAGGCCCGGGGGGTGGTTAGCCAAGGGGAGGAGTGGGGGGGTGGAGGATGGCCAGGCACAGGGGTGCAGAGCGGAGGGCAGCTGGGCAAAGGGGGGGGGTCACAGAGAGCACGGCTGAGCTGTAACCTTCTCCCCTCTGGGCCGGGCACTTTGCCTGGGACATGCCCCGCCTGGGGGGCTCCATCCAGCCAAGGAGCTGAACACCCACCAATGGATGCCGAGGGGCTTTAAATCAATACAGGCGGCTGGGCTGGGGATCGTGCGTCCAAACTGGCCCCTGTGATGAACCCCCCCCCACCTCTTCCCTCCATCCATCCACCCTCCCCCTGCTGTGCCCCTTTCCAGACACTCCCCGACCTCTCCCTACCCCATTCCCAGGGACAGGGGTGGGGGCAAAATCTCTCCTCACCCCCAGGAGTCCGGCTGAGCATCATGGCAGCTTCCAATGTCCCTGCTCGGGGAGCTCTGGAGGCCACCCCCAACGGAGAGAGGGGAAGCCCCGGCCCAGGGAACGTCTCAGCCCGCGGGCACCTTTCCACAGCTGGCTCAGTTCAGCTAACCTCACCCTTAGCCTGCCTGGCAGCCCAAGCGCCAGGACCCCTGTGACCTTCATGCCTAGCAGAGGGCCAGGGGGTTCTCCTCTAGTCTGGGACCCCCTGGGGGGCAAAAGAGGGCATCTACCCCCATGAGATCTGGGCTCCCACCTGAGCAGGAGCTACAGGATCCGAGAGAAATGATGCTTTTTTTTTTGCTAAAGCACCCCTCCCCCACCCTCCCTGGGTTCTTGGGGGGCACCAGCCATTCAAATACGATAGGGGGCAACCGTTAAAAGTGTTGCACGGGGGAGAGTGCGACAGGCCAATGAAATATTCACAAGCCAAAGGCAGTGACCGAGCAGAAGAAAAGGCGCCTAGACGGAGGTAAATTATAGATCCCAGGGACAGAGGAATTGCTAGCCCCGCTCAGATCCACAGGGCAGGCGTGGATGTTTCCGTGGATATCAGGGATATCCAGTGTTATGAGAGTGACTGCTGGGCACATTTTGGAGGGGATTTTAAACCTCATGCTTCAGGGCTCGAGCCAACCTCATTTATTTAAAGCCATTTTGCGCTGGTGAGAAGTGCCTCCTCAGCCCACAACTTGATCAACAGAGCAGATACAGGCCAGGCACCCCCAACACTCTCGCTGCTCTGCTGTGACCCGGAGGGGTCACCTCTAGGGCTAAGAGGGGAGTTCATTTGCACCCTTGATTCTCTGCTGAGACAGCCAGCCAAGCAGGGTGTGGGGGCAGGCAGTGGTGGACTGCAACGAGAACATCTGCCCCTAGAAGGTAGAGAGACACCCATCAGTTCACTTCACACAGGCCACCGAACAGATGGCAATAACTTTCAGTCATCACCGACCTGCGCCGGATTGGAACCGCTTACTTAGAGCTGAAAAGCTCAGTGTCCCGTTACCAACCCCGAGCCGCAGATAAACTCCTTGGGAGGACTAGGAAGGGAAGGGGAGCTCATCTGCTCTTTGGCTTGGGCAGTGCCGTTCTCAAGTGGTAGGATCCAGAGAGGAACTGCCCATGTGGTGCTGTGACTTGTGAATGACCCAGGCTGTAGAATTCAGATGCCGATTTCAGATGTCCCCAAAGTGGGGGGGTTGTTCTGAGCTGGCATTTTGGTTGTGGACAGCGAGGCGAGTAGCCAGGGAATGTGTCAAGGTTGCAGGGTAGTACGGCTCCAGGATTTTGGGCCCAGGATTTTTGCTCCAGGTCTCCTGTTCAGGGTGAAATCTTTTTCATGCCAGAGACTTACTGGTAATGTGCCCAGCTCCCATGTCCTACATATATTTAGGAATTAATGATCAGTCATCCTCTTCCTTAAACAAACAAAACACACACACACACACACCCCACACACACCCCAGCACAACTTAAAAAGCAATTAAAAGCTCACGGAGGTGTCACTCTCTCCTTCTTGTTCGAGCTGTCAAAATGCTTTATGGGGTTAATACCTGCGGCTTTGTCAACAGGAGTTGTGTTAATAACATGCACATTTCGCTGGACTAATTTAGACCATGTGCTCTCCCATAAATGTGTTAATCTTTATGGGAGTTTTCAGTGCTCAGGACCCGGAGCGGAAAGGGAAACGCAGGCTGGCGGGGAGGGTGGATTCTGGAACCTGGGAATGGAAGTTATATTTTCCACACCATTTAGTAGCACTGAGGGGAGGGATTGCCAAGGAGCCGGGGGCATTGCTCATTTCTTCTTACCTTTCCGGCAAGAATTACAAGAGGGGATGCAGAGTGCGAGCTGTCAGTCAGTGGCCCTCCCCGGCAATCAGATTGCGAGGGACTGGCCGTATCTCACAGCTGCTCCTCTCCAAGCAGGGGGCACTGCAGGGAGTGCCGGTGGCAGGAAAGTCTGTATATTTCACTTCCAGCTTCTAGGAACCCTGGCAGAAGCTGAGGTGGGAGCCTGGCTCTTGGTAACCCACTTCCTTCAGTCCCAGCCGGCCTGAGTAGATGGGGCCGAAAGCACAGCTGCTGTGGTCCCATTCGTTCCCAGAGCTATTCATAGTAAAAAATGTGAGCAGCTGGTTTGCTACTCCAGCCCCAGCCTCTGGCAAGAGGAGTCACTGCGGGAAAGGACGCAGGACAATGTTGACCCAACTACGGCGGTTCTTGCTCTTCTCAGCAGGGGTCACTGTGGGGTGATGCAGGAGGTGACTAGGGTGACCAGATGTCCCCATTTTATAGGGACAGTCCTGATATTTGGGGCTTTTTCTTATATAGGCACCGATTACCTCCCCACCCCCTGTCCCAATATTTCACACTTTCTATCTGGTCACCCTAGAGGTGAGCCGGGTATGATGGCACTTAAAGCAATTTCATTTGGAATCATTCAGGAATTTTCACACACACCGTTGTAGGCCAAAAGCCTAAAGGGGAAATTGGTCAAAACTCTTTGGTGGAAATTTACCAGTTTTACTTAAACTTGCACCAGGAAGATTCCTTAGGTCAGGATGGAATTTCTGAGCCAACCAAAAGCAAGCATAGCTCAGTGGTTAGGGCCCTCAGCTGCGCTGGGGCGGCGGGTGACCCAGGTTCAAATCAGGTAGAGGGAGACTGCCTCTGAAGCTGGTGGAATCAGGCAGAAGAAAGCTTTGAGTCAGGGTGTTTCACTGCCCTAGTCACAGGGCTCTTGGCTTTTCTCTCTCTGCCATGTTTTGTGGACAGTTTTGAAAGGTTTGGGTTTCATTCCGAGGCAGAATGTTAACACATTTTGAAACCTCACCATTTTTCACCAAGTGGAATTATTTTCTTCTGGCCAGCCCTCATTTAATTCTTACCTTCTTCCAGCAGGGGGCACTGTCGAATGATGGGACAGTGCTGGCTGTGGAGGGGGACCACACAGCTTTTCCAGTCCCAGCTTCACCCAGCAGAGATGCCCTAGACCAGGGTTTCTCAACCCGTGGGTCGGCGCCTGACATTGGGTCGCCAGAATGTTGCAAAGGGCCCCTGGCAGCTCCTGTCCCACGGGGCTGGCTGGGCTCGCCTCCCTGCTCCTGGTGCTGCCGTCTCTGGAGTCCCAGTGTTGCTCAGGTTTGGCCGAGCCGTCAGGCCGGCGGGAGTCCGGGCAGGTTAAATTTGAGTGAGTGGCGCTGCAACCCCATGAGCTAGGTCACAACTCCACTCAGACCAATTTGGTCCAGTCAGGGGGGCCAAATCTGAGCAGCGCTGCAACCCTGCAGGTTGCAATGCCTGGAACGGAGATCCAAGCCCAGCCAGCCCCACAGCACGGGAGCTGCAGGAGCCACCACTGTGGGGTGAGTGCCAAGCAGGACCCAACCCTCGCAGGGGGCAGGATCCGACCGAAACCACCCCAGGGCCTCCACCCCCAGACTATTTACTGGGTCGCGACAGGCCATAAGCATTTACAAATGGGTCCTGAGCCCAAAACGATTGAGAACCACGGCCCTAAAATAATGATAAAGGCGCCTGCGAGGAGCTTGCAGTTACTACTTTACTTGCCAGGGACCCTTCTTAGCCTGGATGTGCCGGCTGGAGCATGAAGCCCCATCTCTTGGGGTCACTGGTGTGATGCAACGTTTACAAGAGGGTCTGTGCAAAGAAAAACCCACGGCACCGAGCATCAGAGCCTGGGTCAATTGACTCGAGCGCGTGGGGCTTGGGCTGCGGGACTAGAAATAGCCAAGTGGGTGTTCAGGATCGGGCTGGAGGACAGACTCTGAACCACCCCCTTCGCAGGGTTTCAGAGCCCAGAGTCCAGCCCAAGCTAGAACGTCTCCACGGCTGTTTTGAGCCGTGACTTGAGCTGTCACTTGATCCAGCCTCCGTGGGTCTTTTAGTGCAGTGGTGTCCAGAGAAAGTCATCCCAGGCCCTCGCTAGTTAACTGTGCTGCCAAATGCAGTGCCCACATGCTCTCAAGCGCTGGGTAATTGGAGCCCTTTGTCATTCAAATGCCTGTAATTGGCGCTCCCTTGTCTAACGCCAGCATCTGTAATAGACAGAGCACAGCGTTTATCCAGTGGACACTGGGAAAGGAGGCAGCTAATTGGCAGAGGGAAGTGCCTGATGTGCAGGGAGCTGAGCTGGCTAGCAAAGGCCCTGGGCTCCTTAGCCCAGCTCGTCTCCCTTGCGTGGCCAGGGGCGTGTGGGCCAGAGAAATTGTCGGGAAAGCGTCTTTCCTGCCTCGCTTTTGTTTTTTCCTGGCAGGGTTTGTTTTGAGGGATTGTTTTCAATGCTGTATTTTCATTTCTGGTATGAATTGTATTGCTCATGAAAGGTGCAGTAGGGAGATGCTGCCTTAGAGTCCTGATGGGCTTGATAACTGTCCCAGACACCTACCCGGCACAAGAGTAAACCTATTGTAGAGGCTGATACTATGGGAGTCAAGAGGGAGTGTGATGGTGAGAATCCAGGAGCTCCTCTCCCGGTTGCTGGGAACGTGAGTGGGACTGGGGTTCCTTCCAGTGATGCTCTCCCTAGACTCTGCTCCATCTTGTGTAGCTGCTTCCGGCTATGGGTGGCAGATAAATGTGAATTTCCTATGTTTGCTGGAAGGAAGGAAGAACTTTTTCTCTCTTCCAACTCCACTTAGCTATTCCTCCCACATTCTACCTGCTGCTGCTGGAGAGGTCAGATTTCTGCTATTCTACCCCTCTCCAAGTGCCATACTTTGACTCTTTCTTCATGAATAACTCCAATGCTTTCTTGTGCTGCTATCCATAGCAGCAGACTAAAACTGACATGGTTCTTGTTCCCAGAGGCCATGAAACTGACCAGCTTGTAGGTTTTACTCTGCTGCTGTTTGAAGAAGCGGTGAGCAGCAGGCGAGCTATCTGTCTGCAGACTCAGGAAGACAGTGCTGCATCCATTCCCATTTGGGAGGTTTTCTTCAGAAACCTAAAAGCTAGAAACAGAATTCTTTTTTCTTAAAAAAAGTGAATCTTAAATTGCGTAGAGATTGATGATTTATGCCTCTCATCATCATCACTCCCATAACCGCATTGGTCGTTGGGGCACCATCATTGATAAGCAATCAACCGATTGTCTCCTCCCCGATGATTGTGTGTCAGTGCTTGAGTCTCCGCAAAGTCCATTCCTGTCCACTCTTTTATGTTGTCAATCCATCTCTTCTTCTGTCTACCTCTTCTCTTCCCCTGTACTGTCCCTTGGAGGATGATCTTGGATAGGCCAGACGATCTTGTTATATGGCCATACCACGTCAGAAGGTCTTCATATGACCCAGCGCATTGGGTGATGATGTTACGGACCTGTTCATTAGTGATGTAGTCGAAGTAGGAGATGGTTATCAAGGGATTAATTCAGAGTATTATGAGTTGGAGCCATGCTCCACCTCGCCCTTACTTCCTGTTTTAGTCAATGGAAGCTTCCCTCCCTCCACTCTGTTGTGATGCAGTTGAATAAAGCAGCAAGTTCCCAGCCTGCAGTGCTGTGAGCAGATGTATTTTTGTTGCACTGAGTGGTCGCTTTTCGAAAATACCCCACCCCCAGGAAATGTTTCCCCTTCAGCACTAGCCAAGAGGATTGTTCAAGTATAGCTGTGTTTATCGATGGCCCTGCGGGACCACTGCTCAGGACAAGGAGATAGGTATTTCAGTCTCTCGCTCCCATGTATTCCTGGGCCTTTCTGTTGAGACCGTAGACACGGTCGGCAGTTAGCGCCCGTGGCGGCTGGTTTGTGACATGCAGAATAGAAAGTGGCGTGCTGCTGCCAAACAACCGCCAGATAGTAGCATCTTTTGGTCCCTGCCTGGGCTAGATTTGCACTGGGGCCCAGAGCCTCAAAAGTATGTAGGTGCCCAACTCCCATCGGTGGAAGGTTCTGAATCTCGTTACCATGCCCTGAGCCATCCAATCCTCCCCTTCTTCTTTTTGTTACCACAGTTCAGACAAACCTGCAGGATCCTTCTACCAACAAGCATTGCAGGGGGGGGGGGGGGAAGAATAGCCTTTGCACAACGTAACCTTTGCCGACACTCGGCCGCTAGCTGTCTCTTCTAGGGAAGCGTTGCTAGGGAAGGTGCTTCGCAACAAGAAAGCACTTTGTGAAGTTAAAGCACCCAGCCCTCCCCCATCTCAGATACA